CTAAGGTCTTTCAAAATCAAACTGAACCACCATGTTCGTAAGCTGTGGATAGGAACATGGTTATTTTGGTCTGTCTTTTTATCCTTGACAGCAGTTCATCTCCCTCCAGTGTATCTGAAACAAATCAATCACAAGTGGACATGTAGATCAGAGAACAATGGGAGGCTGTTGTCGGTGCTATTAACAAATAACACCCTAGCTCTTAAGGAATAGACCTAACATATTAACCCGCCTTCTAACCACTTGGCCCTGATAAGCAGATCAGGATAATATCTCCGTTGTCACAAAGTTCAGTATCATTCTATCGGGCTCACTATGAAGAGACACACTTCTCTTTTGTGTGGGTATTGAACGTCACTCATGACAGAAAGTCTAGAGTATTTGTAGTAAATCGTATTTAAGAAGAACTATTAAACCAGAATCAAATACAATAATCATAGTATATCATACTTACCACTAGCTTTCTTCCACCTAGGAATACTCATATAATGAGTACAGCCCAGTAGATGGTAAATAAGCAATTCATGCATTCATTGCGACTGATTACGCTCATCATTGACTGTAATTAATCAGTCAAGTAATTACTGCCACCCATTTACATAATGCTTATCTGCGTTTGGCATACACTTGATAAGGGGAATAGCATAGGAGTGAAGGAGGGAGTGGAAGAAACACATAACTGGGCACGTGAGAGTAGTTCAGCCACTTGACTTGATACCCAGCCCGTGCTAGCTATACTCACTCACAACCTTCTCCTTCTGTTTTCGCTTCTTATGACTCCACTTCCCACTGAAGTTATTGAATGTATTGTAAAGCGCCTTGAGCGGAAAGACATTCTTGAATGTTCGAATGTCAATACACAGTTCTATTCGATATCCATGAAGTACCTGTATGCAGAAATTGACATCGAAAGTGAGGCCAATCTGAATTTATTCCTAAATTCTCTGGCTCGTTATCCTCGGTGCAAAGAAGCCGGTACGTATGTCCGGAATCTATCATTGAACTATTCAGACGACAAGTATTTTTGCTGGTCAAATACAAAAGTCATTGATTTTCTGATGCTTCTTCCGAATATGGAAGAATTATCAATCAACCCATCACTGGAACTTATTCAAGCACTGATCGATACTAGAAAACCCATTTTGACCAAGATAAAGAAATTCGATTTCAGTTTTCATACGGACGGTGCTCAGCTCAAATACGCTGATTGCTGCTACAGATTCAGATCATCACTGACCACTCTCTCGACGAATTACCTTGACCTGCCAGATCACCGGTTGGTACCCTATCTGGCCTCATTTCCCTGCTTAAATAAATTTTGATATTTTTCAAAAGATGATACTTCTGTTTTCAGTGATCTTCTCGTTGGATGTCCTATGCTTACCAAATTGAAATTCTCCTGTCAATCTACAGGTATCAATCGCTGTAATACTTCGAAAATACACGATCATCCTTTGACCCATCTCAAGTTGGATACGAAACATATGGAATTAAAAGTCATGCAGTTCATCATTGACAATTTCCTCCAACTGAAATATTTACGACTGAGGATAGACAGTGATTTGACGGAAATCAGTAACATTGTAAACACTGTATTACAAATAAGATCATTGGAAACTATAGATATCGAGATGACCGGTAAGTTTAGGTCAGACATTGTGAAGAACTTCGTGGAACATTCTAACCACCGAGCGGAAAAGATGAAGACATCTGTGAATCAGGAAGTTATGTTCGAACAAAGCTATTCTCCGAGGCAACCTTATTTCAAAATCGAGTATAGACGTGAGAGTCCCATAGGCATAAGAAATCGTTTTATCATTGGCCCACACGATTCGTCAGTGTTCCTGCAAGTATTGAATGAAATTGGTAGCAGTTTGGATAAGCTGACCATACTTTTACACTATAACAGGGAGGATTGGGATCTGGAAGATATCCATCAGCAGTGTCCCATGCTCTCTGAGCTGGATACTGTGTTCCTTAAGCCATTCCTTCGGTGTGGACATTTAACGGTCAACAAACATTTAACTTCTCTCATCTTACGTTCAGAAAAAGTTAACAGCTTACTATTAACCCAAATTAGTGTAAGTTGTCCCATGTTGAAGCAGCTTTACTTTATAGGTGTTGACTTGACAGATGGTGATAATGACAATGAAATTCACTGTGTTGAACTACCCATCACCTCCTTGGAATGCCGCCAATTTGGATTTAAGGATTGTGAATGGCCTGTCCTGGTTGTAAAGCCCCTAAACGGTGTTTGTATTAAATCATGGCGTTACTGCAGTCATATAGATGAAATGATTGTTTCTGAAGATCCACTTACAATCAGTGATCTTAGACTATGGATGGATGGCCCACTCTATGTATTTTTATGCACTTCAATCGAACATGTCAGCATTCAATGACATTATTCAAGATTGTATATTTTTAATAACCAATGTCTATTGATTATCCGAGTTATACAATAAATGACTGCTATCAACGGTTTCAGCTCTCCAGTGATTATCAAGGGGAAGGCAGAGATGAGGGTAGTATGTAGGTAGACTAATCACTATTATTTTGGGACTAGTGGTGAACAGTGTTTTTTGTAACTGATTTGGTAATACAATGGTATAAACTAGCTGCGGTTTACCTTGTAGCATGATTGTTTAGTGCAGTTTTTTGATACCCGCTCTTCATGCTAAATTGACTGGGGCATAGTATATTTGGATTTTTTCTGCACATTCAGGGCTCATCTATCTGAACACATGTTATAGCTCTCTGTCGAAAGCATCTTCACAGACCTATTTACACAGTCAATAGAAGTTGAATATAACTTGTCCATTAACATATTCTTTGACCAAACTGAAGCTGAACACCAGGCGCATGGAATTGGGAGCAATACAACTTATCAGGGACAGTCTCCCTCAGCTACAAAAATTGGAACTGTGGTAAGATGGTTGAGACGAAATAAGAGATTCTTTAGACACTGCCTGTATATATCCATATACAGTTTGGGCTGCTCAGATAGCCACACTTTAACATGGGAACCTATTACAAGAGCATATTTAAAACATATTTGAGTTACATGTTATGCCAGAAATAAGATTAAGCTGCATAATATACAGTATCTTATCCGGGTACTCCCTTTTAAATTACAGAAATTGGAATATGCCAATGTCAGTGAGGTTCTGCAGCACACACTTAATGAGATTATCTTAATTAATTAAGAACAAGTAACCTAAAAGACCTTCTTAGAAGAATCATCTTGTTTGATGGTTATATGGTTGATGTATTCAACATGGTGACTGTGTCGATTGATTCAGTGAGTAGAAAGCATCCGAGACCAGTGCTATGTACTGACTCCAGTCAAGTTATTAGTCCTTTACATGCATATGTTCAATATATACTTATTCTCCCATTAAGCGGTACATTATCTGGGCGGATAGCATCTTGTGTAATCTTGATCCTCTTAGCAGTTCCACATCTAATTAATATAGACATCTCAGAATAACAAGCTCAATAATCTCACAGCAACTTTTCCATTTATTACATTTCCCAAATGTCAAGTATACAAGCGAATATACGGAACTTGATCAAAGTAAATGCGATTTGACTGTACATTGTGAAATTAAGAACTTTTATGTTCATAAATAGTAACAAATGCATCCAATGCTGTGGGAGTATCAAGCTTTCTGCACACTGCTTGTAGCAAATACATGAATCCATAGCCATATTAGTTGCTGTATATATTTCACTTGAAAAGATGAGTGAACTTCAATCGATTATAAATAGGATTCATTTCATAGCACTTTTTTTCTTTCTTCATCAAATCCATCGTAGTCACCAGTATGCGTTCTACTCTTCTCCTTTCAATTGTCGGTTTCTTTACTGTTGCTGGTACATAATCAGTGAAAAAAGTGTATATCTACATACTAAATTATCTGTGGTTTCTAGCCAACGCTGCCTCTATTAACAAGCGCACTATCTCTTCTGAAGTACAGGTCTGTATTGACCAGCTTAATCTTGTTGGCCCTAAAATGGATAATCTTCAGGCATTCGTAAGTAGAGATCTCCTTCTATTTCCATTCGCTGATTTCTCATATGCAACATTTTCTAGCTTAATACTTTTGATACAGGTGAAACTGAATATAACATGGCTACCGGCCTTAAAGTTTATGATTTCAAGAAAATAGTGAACGCAGCTCTTGAAACTTCTGGAATCGCTTGCTGTGCCGTATCTAGCCCCGTATTCACCGATGAAGAAGCTCCTGCTCTCCTTAGCATCTACCAGGGTATCACTCCCAGAGTCCAAGAATACACACAATCATATATTGCCAAGTATCCTTCTTTTATTGAAATACCACTCATGAGTAGTATTTACAAAGCCCATTTTATGTATGCTAACGAATTCTCCGACACATTGGGTGGATGTCTCGTCAGCCGAAGCCCTTCTGCTCAATCTGATGCTTTCACTGCTGAGATGAATCTTATCAGGGCTGCTTATGATGAAGCCCATACTGTTTATAGCAATATTCCAGAGGCTTAAATTGTTATATAACTTCCTTACTTCTTTACTACCTGATTATTACTTTATAATTACTAATAAAAAAGAGCGCTCTTCTGTTATTAAATCAACCTTTAGTATTCTCTTCTATTTCAGAAAGTCTTTTGCAGTAGAGTGGTAAAGAACCAGCTGATATAAGCACAACTGTCGATTCCATCCGTGCTCAAGTGTTACATTTGGATAACCAATGAATTTTTTCATCTGGAGAGAGTCGAATGCATCTTGATAAGCATACCAATCATATATAAAAATGCTTTAAACAGTGTCAAAGTGAGCGGATTGCTTTCTGATTCCCTGGATAAATGAAATGTATGTGTAGATCTTTATTATTTCCTGTAACACGGTTGCTCGGTAATTGAATCACCGCAAAAGTAACTGAGTTACATGAACATGGACTGCGGTATACCTCTTTTTGATGTTCTGCGCATTCAATCAGGGCTCATCACTACTATCAGAGGGTTTCTTAGTGTAGTGGTTATCACATTAACTGAAAAGGTACTCAATTAAGACGTCAGTTCAAATCTGGCAGAAACCGCTTCTCTTTTTTAGCTTCTTCTATCTCCCTTTTTGATTCAACCACTTGGTCATAGGAAGCTCGGTCATGCCTTTTTTTTGAATAGGTGGCTAGAACTATACGTTTTTTGCTATATAAGGGTGAAAATAGATGATGTTTATTGAATCAAAGTGAATGGGTATTTCTATGATTTTACAAAGCGCTAAGATAGGATTCATAAGAAGGACAGCTTCTTGGTCAGATAATGTATAGAATGTGTATGTACTTCATAATCCACTGTATGTTCTTATACTATTGCCTGTGTTTTTTTGATTTGCTCATGATCCACACAATTTGAGTGATCATGATTACTCTGTCTGGATTTGTACAACCTGGTAAACTGTAGACGACAGAATATACTCAACAGTTATCTATTGACTGATCAATGACACATTTTTATTTGTTGACACTGACATTTCTGTGTGATCTATATCCTGCAGACAGTTTATTTAACTGCATGTGGCTCAAGTAAAGAGCTCGTTCCTGAAAAGTAACCACTGATACTATGAATAAACCTCTGTAGTAAAGAGTACAATCTATTGATAGATGGTTGCTCTATACTCTATAGAAAACACGTTATCGGAAGAGGCAGAATTTAAGGTTATAAACTTTAATCTGACGGTGTTACATAGAAAAGAAGCATCTATTTTTATTAAAAAAAAGGTCTGATTCAAAATGATAGAGGAGTAGATATTAAGCACCTGTGTTAGTGGGATCCACTCCTCGGTGAGCATGGCTATCCATGATATCAATATAGTTGCCGACAGTTGCAGGATGTTTTTCACTACGCATGGGGTCACGATCAAAGCCCTTTGGGTTGACTAGGGGCTCAGGCTGTACAAGCGGATCTTCTTTTGTTCTCTTGAATAAGCTGTTAAAAGTAACCTTTGTAATCTTCATATTATAATGTATATGTTATGAGAGAAGGGAAGAAAGTAAAAATAAAGGTTATCTATATATACACTCTCTTCTGTTATCTATCTGATTAAAATCAAATACTAGCTTGATTTTATTTGAACAGTAAAAAAAAATGTCATGTTTTACATATTAAGGTAATTAGTTTAAGTGGTGGGGAGACAGAGAAAATAATCTAAACTGCTGATAATGTAACGGGGGGCATAGATACCGCTGTAGGTTGAGGTACAATTACTGTGGGTTGTGGAATCACGGGTGCTTCAATGACGGGTGGACCTTTATTCCAAAATGGTAGAGTGATAGGGATCATTGGAAACCTTATCAGGGAGCCCCCTAACACTGTGCTATGTTGTGCCAAAATACGGTTCTGTTAAATATAGACACCAGTGGGGTGAGTTATCAACAAAAATGAAGAGCGATAATTAATATTACATAACAGTGTTCCAGGGTCTGTACGGCATAAGATACGATAACAGCAATAATCAGGCAGCCTTGCATGATAAATATCTCCCTTGTTGTACGATATACTCTAACTAACATTTTACATCAGTTTCAGAATCCATCCTCTCTCATCCACTTACCATGAGCAATATTGACATCCAATGCTGTTGTGAAGCAGTACAGGAATCCAGTATGGAAGAACACATCTAATCCCATAAACAGCAGATAAGATCCGACAATGGAAGTACCTAATATAGGGCCAATAGACTGATATAGGGAATAGAACATTGAGAAGATAACCAGCACAGATAAGAAGAGTCCTCTTCCCCATACTGAATCAATAGTGAATCCTGTTGACCATCCCAATACCCATAATCCGAATGCCAAACCACCCAATCCACCCAGCAACATGATGTACAGATGAATGGTCGCATGCATAAATAAGGCAAATAGAACCCCCGATACCCACGGAACAACCAAATATATCGTCCATCTGTTGTATCCATAGGTTGAAGGAGGTTCAAAGTTTGCCAACATGACCCAGGTAATGAATCCTGCGCAAATAAATCCAACCAATTGCCTCACTCGTCTTCCTTCTGGTGAATGATCCCATACTGTTCGAAATATGAGTAATAGTCCCGATATCAGCATCAGTATTCCAGCTAGAAGTCCTTGTATCGTTAATCGATATCCATCATCTAGACAATATAAATATCAACCAATCAACTCATGCATCTTTATTTTAATTTTTTTTTTACTCAATGAAATCGCTTTATTTGGTATATAAAGGACACCGACATCTTCAATAGGATATCCAATCACAGAGTATAAGAAGAAGAACAGGAGGAAGATGATCATTGATGAATAGGTAAAAGAGAAAGAGAGAATAGGAGCAATGTGGGGGTAAGAGAAAAAGAAGTCTGGCTGGTGTTATGCTACTTTAAATAACAAACAGAGACCATCACCTTATTTAGGAATATGTTTATTGCAAACCTTGATTGATTTGATTGATAAAATGCATCTTCCAATGTTTCATCAATCGTTGACAGCGATCATTGATCATTTTATAGTCATTCTCAAAGGGATAAGTACAAGCCGCCTTCACTACTTTACCTATTTTTGTATCCTTAAGAACAGTAAATACACAATGTTGAGTGGTAAATTCATAAATAGTTACTTTTAATATGGGATAAGTAATTGGTGTTTCCTCTATTTCATCAATTAAACTCACTATTTTCGAATAATCCTCTTTGGGTATCTCACCCTAAGTAAAATGAGAAAGTCAACACTACCATCTATTCATCATTCTCCTTTCTTTTACCTCTTTCTTATTATATACCAGACGCTGTAATTTACGCCTGAGAGTATACACCTTCTGCCTTGTTTCTGTATCTTCTGTACACTGTAAATAAAAGGTAAGTCTTGCTTCTCTTTCCCATTCACTGCATTACCCTCTTCTTCCTCTCTCCGTCCACACTCTCTCTCCTTCTCTTGGGAGAGGTGAGTTCATTCAATGCCTCGATGACTGCTGATTCCAGATCCTTTGATTTGAACTTCTTTGCTGCCATATCTTTCTCTACACTCACAGGATCAAAGGATCGAATAGCATCATGGCCGAAGAATCCACTATCATAAGAGTTTCCCTAAGTTTTAATTTCCCATAAACCTACTTCTCCTGGTATCTTTCATCAATTACTTACTAATCTTGGGTACCATAAAAACACACTGTATATTGATTACCTTTGGATTTGGATTTCTGTGATAAGATATGAACAGGCACAGTAAGATCATCTTCTACCTTCTCTAGAGTGAGTCATTTATTATAGGAGTTTTACTTATCTATACATTACTTTGGCTGGCCACCATGGGAATCCCTTTAGTTTGGCAAAGACAATAGTTCCAGGTGAGTAGGTTTGGGTCATATTTATAAAATAAAAAGAAGGGGGGAGGAGGGAAAGAAAGACGATGGATCGGGGATTGGAATGGGTTCTTTTGCATTAGACCCTTATTAAAAAATAAATAAGTTTTTTTCTTTTTCAACTCATTATCATCTGATATTATTTATGAATGTATTCACTCTTCTTCTTCTTTGTGGGTGTGTATGGACTACCTTTACCCGACCAACCCAGTGAGCTTCTGGTGAGTGTGTTGGGTGACAAGTGTTATAGCAGTCTGATCGAAGACTGGCATATCAGAGACATCGACTGTATTCAGCTATTACTGTCCAAATTACTCGGTACAGCCATTGTGATAGGTGGATCCATAGTGAAGATACCACAGATCATCACTATCATCAAAAACAAATCAACACAGGGCCTATCTTTAAGTTCATTCTTGATGGAGACAACAGCTTATCTGATCATCTTCAGTTACAACACAAGACTGGATCATCCATTCAATACATATGGTGAGGTCGTGTTCATGCTGATACAGAATATCATCATTACCTTGTTTATCGTATCTGGGTCCACACTCAACATGACAGGCGTGCTTGTCTATTACTCCCTGTCACTCCTCTGTTTCTACAGTGTACCTCATTCAATCATGTTACTGCTCTATGCTGTACAGATACCCATGGGACTCCTCAGTAAAATACCCCAGATAACCATGAACTATCAGAACCAGTCTACAGGTCAACTCTCCTTATTCTCTGTCCTCAGTTACTTCCTGGGTACGGCTGCCCGTTCATTCACTACATGGACTGAACTGGATGATATCATCATGTTGAGTGGCAATCTCATAGCCACCATGTTCAATGCTATTCTAGTATTCCAGACAATCTATTACACTTATTACTCCACTTCGATGACTAAGGCAGAATAAACCGGCAAATCTATTGTGGCCGATTAAAGATGAATAATAGAAAATTAATTTTTTTTTTAATTATTTAAATGAGACAGCCCCCTTCCCTTTTTCCTTCTTATTTTGAAATAAAAAAAATGCACAACACTTCTTTGGAGACAGAAAGAGAGAACTTGGAGATTGTGAAGAAGTGTAGACAGGATCCAGGGCTCACGGAATTCGACATTTACAAGACTGCTACACAAAGTCAAAAGGAGCATTCATTGACTGCTTCTGCATTAAGGGGTCCTGATATGATTGCTGTGCAACCATTGATCTTCTACAATAAAGAACACACTCAAGTCACTTCTGTCTTACATTTGGGTAAGAACGTGTGTGGACATGATGGTATTATCCATGGTGGATTATCAGCTACACTATTAGATGAAGGATTGGCCTATGTAGTAAAGTATAGAGAATAAGTAAAGTGGTGTATCTATATACTCATCCCTTCATTTAGGCATTTCCTGCTTTACCTAATAAAATGGGATTCACTGCCAACTTGAATATCAACTATCGTAAACCCATCTTATCTGATCAATGGGTTGTGATGCGTACCAGATTAGATAAAGTAGATAACCGTAAAGCCTATGTGTCAGGGCATATCGAAGGATTAGATGGAACTGTGTATACAGAAGCCACTTCATTGTATATAGCACCCAAGACACCTGTAAAGACACCTATTACCAAATAAAATAAGAGAAATAATGAATAGAGCTTCTCCCGAGAAAGAAGGAGTCTTTCTTTTTTTAATATGAATGTAGAACCCTATTTTTACCCATTTC